GGGATGGAGGGATGGAGGGATGGAGGGATGGAGGGATGGAGGGATGGACGGAGGGATGGAGGGATGGACGGAGGGATGGAGGGAGGGATACTTTTCAACAGCTTTAGTGAGACTGAACCTGTTGAGAAAAGGAAGAGCTAAATCTGGTTACTCGCAGGACCACACCTCTCTACTAATGGACTCAACTAGAGTCAGCCTGACCATTTTGGTCATGCCAGAAGAAACAGCTGATTGTCCCCCATTTCTAGGAGATGGGGGGGGGTGAAGCCCAGAAATCTTGTTTTCCCATGGTTGTACTAGATTTCTGGAATGGCCTCCAGCTGGAGGTTCATTTGTCTCCATCCTGATTTACCTTTCAGAAAAAGTTGAAATCAGAGCTTTTCTGAAGGGCTTGGAATGACTGATGCCAGGAATTTTTTGGTTTTAAATATACTTATAACTTTTTTTTTTTGCATTATTATGTTTTGCTTGTTATTATGAGTAGCCGAGAGTCTGTTTTGATGGCAGCAGGATGTAAATGTAATAGAGAAATAGATAACTAAATAAATAAACAGACAAATAAACACTTCTAGCAATGGACATAACTTGGGTCTCTACTGGACTTCCGTGACTGAGAAATAGTTAGCAAAATCCTCTGGAGTCAGGAAGGGTTTTTCAAGAATGGGTGGACCACTGCCTTCTTGAAGGCCAGAAGCAGCTCTCCATTGGGCAAAGATGCACTCACCTTCCTTTGGATCCACCCAGCCAATGCTTTCTTCCAGAGTAATAATTTCCACTTTCATTACAAGGGATGAACCACATATACAGTAGATCACCCTATATTTTGATTTTTTTTCTGGGAATATACAGGTGGGTGGGGACACATGTACCTCTTTCCTGCATACCCAGAAATGTAGCAAGGCAAGTACTTTCACCAAGAAGAAAGAAAGGCTCCATTGACTTGTCTTTGTGGTCACTAACAGTCAATGATGACTTGATGGGACATAATCAATCAATCAATCCATCGATTCAGAATTAGTTTTGACATATTGCTTTGTTTGCAGAGGTATGTTGTTAGACTGTAGGGCCTCCAGAGCACAATCCTTGTATGCTGGAGGAGGCAGAGGAGCCTAGATAAACGTGCCTCTCTCTGCCTGGGTGGTTAAATATCAAGTAGCACATCCAAGCAAAGTGTCCTGGAGCATCTCTACATAATGCCAGTGCCTCAGTCCAGGCCCTTGATGCTGGATGGCAACCTGGATGTGTGCTGCTCCCACAGAACAGCCAGCCTGCGGCACTGGGTGCCCCATCAGCCTTCCAGGAAGACTGTAGAGCTAAGAAAAGTGAACAGCTCTGGAGGGGTCAACAGAATCCTGAACATGTATGTTTCAGAAGGAGAGGGGCATCTATGTAGGCCTGTATTTATATACGCACATGAAAGAGATTATATGTGTCAGGATGGGAGATCCCAGGGCTGCAGGCTAGGCTGAGGAGTTTTTTT